CAGCTGTTCCTTTTAGCTGATGACCATAAATTCTATCGTAATCCGAGTGATGTTTAGCCATTTCTTTTTACTTTCTTTTAAGGCGTTTCTCTAGAAATCCTAAAAATTGATAACCCGTAAAAATCTAGAAATTATTGCAGTTTTCTTTTTGTATTTGATATCAAGTACGAATCATTTGCGTATCTATCGTTATTAAGATTGTGTCCACCAATAATGCATCAGTGTTGAAACTTTAGTTCTTTCAGGAATTGTCTTAAATGAACGTTGAAATAATTCGGTGAGAAAACAGAAGTTACTCCGTATTTAATACTTTTGTATAATTAACTGTTGGAACTGCTAGAAAGTATTGATTTGTTGTTTTTGTTTCGTAAGATATTAGAATATTCCAGAATTATAGTGGGAGTCAAAACCAATACAAATAAAATTTGCTTTACTTTTCTTTTTTTCTTCATTCCATCTTTTCTGTTTGTGATAATACCGAAGATTTTCCTTCTTCCTTTTGCTGTGTTTATCTCTCTGATATTAACAATATCAAAATCTTCTTTATTCCTTTTCTTTCTTCTTTTTTTATATCTTTGCATGATGTCTTCCTTGTTTTCTTTTTGCTTTGTTGACACTTATTTTCTTTGCCTTCTTGTTTTCTATGCCTAGAAAACAGGGAGATAAGCACATTTCTTTTTTTATATTTACAGTTGATGTGAACGAAGACATGAACGTTTGAGTATCAGACTTTCGTTGACATACACCCAAGCTTGTATTCCTCCTCCGCGATACCTTAACTCACAAAGAGGTGAAAGCCACGTCAGTTTTTATACAGACGCACGGCCTGTATTTTATATCGATATTTAAGCTCGAATCACTAAATATTGATTACAAGGCGTACAACCATATCACGTTGAAACACAGTTTTCCGTATGATTACCGAAGATAAGCAAAGTTGAACCTGGTCAGAGACCGTTTGTGAATACCAGGGGTGTAAGCTCGAATTTGCAGGCGGTGTAATGGATAACGGCTGTGAATTGTTGATAGGAAAGCTGAGTTCTAATTCCAGATAGATTTGTTATATTAAATTATGCCCAAATACCTTTGGGAAACATATTAATCCACCTCTACTCCCCCAAACTATGGGTTAATTAGTAAATCTTTTATCAATAAAACCATTATTATTATCTAAAAAAAATGCTTTCAAAATATTTAGATTTCAGCATTAAATAAGCAATAGAGTTTGATTTGCCGCTAAACAAAATGAACCAAAATAAAACAAACCAAACCAATCAAAATATTTAGATTTCGGCTTTAAATAACCCGTAGAGGTTGATATGCCATAAAACAAGATCTACCAACCAAACCAAAAATTTACATGCACATGCTCCAAGTTAGTGGGAACGCCAAGACCGAGTTTGCATTTCCCAACTCCTATCGATAGTAAAAATAATCGACTTTTTCATGCTTCTACGGCAGTTTTCATGTAGTTTGCGGTCATTTTGTACAGGCCAGAGTGACTGCTACTAGCTGGCTGCCACGAATAGGCAGGAAGATTTTATTGGCCAGCGTGAGGGCCAACAGCTGACTGACACGAATGTTAACTAACATGCTATCATGCAAAAAAATCGATAGCTGCATTCGTCACAAGTGAGAAAATTTAAATTTGCATGGCACTTTACTCCAATTGGCTCATTCGCTTGCTTAAACTCAACGTTGATTCTGATTCCGCAGAAGTGGGTTGGGTGTGAAAAAGTATTTGTTGTTAACATTCATTTTTCATTCGGTTTTTCCAGTTACGAGTCCTTTTTTAAGGCTGATCGTTTTGTGTTCATTTTGTTTAGTTCTTTTTTTCGTCAAAGATTTAATGTTTAGTATAGAGTTTCGAAAAACATCGCAGTGTGAGACAGGCAAGATATAAGGCATGTAGCAACATCAGCACGGCAAAGGGCACTACTTTAAAGGCAAGGAACGGCAAAAATATTTTAAGTCAAGTGATAGCGATTGGTGTATGAGTCGTGCGGTTTTTGAATCAAGCACGAGCAACGCCGGACATGCTGTTAGTAGATTATATATACGTTGTCAGCCGGTCCTTTCTCAAATTATTTTATAATTATCTTATGTAACAATTCGAAATATAGGCCTCTACGGTTATTGTTCCATTTGAATTTTTAATAAGGAAATTCTGTTTGCTCTGAAATCGCGTTTTTTTCCGAGTGTACCTATATAATGGACAGTGGCTAGCCAGTTATTCAGTTGTCTATGAGTAGTCAGTTAGATCCACTATGATTACCTGATAAAAAATTAAACGTTAAATAACTCAAGTGTTGGCATGTAAAAACAATCAATTTGTTGGGGTGCTACTTTAGAATATCGGCCAACGAAATGTTTCATTTGTTCATTTTTTAATATAATTTTTATAGCATAAAAATACATGCCATAAAAATTATATTAAAAATTAACAAATAATATTAGAAGTCAAATAATTCTCGCAATAATTGCTATTTAGTTTTTCTTTACCAATATCTCTCGTCTAGTTCCATTTTATATGCTTTCTCGGGTCAAAAAAAATATTTTCTTTTTTAGCATCTTGTTACTAATCCAATGGAAAATGTGTATGTAGCACAACCCGTTCTTACGTTAATTTTCTAAATAGAAAAAACGCACAGTTACAATCACTGGTTTGTAAAATCTCACACAAATTTGAAAACGCTATCATATCACGCAATTATAAGCTATAAAAAGAGTCGGAGTTTTCAGGTAAAATCTGTGATAATTTTAGTTGGGTTTGTGTGGCCAGTAAAGTGTAAAATTTGGTCGATGAAGTAGAGTGTTATTTGGCAGACGGAATTATTCTAGGTTTTAACTATGCCGTGTCACGTATTTCTCCTTTGCCTGACATAGAGTGATTCATTTTAAATGACCGTGGAAAGAAAAGATTTCACATCTCTTTTGTAGCTTCGTACATATCTTTAACATTAAACAATGCTAACCTTAAATTTTGATGACGCAGTATATTATTTAACTATTTTATGGTAAATAGAAAAACAAGAAAATGTATTGTATACTAAAATTATTTGCAGTACCTTTTCAATAATAGCACCATAGTGTTACATTTATATGTTAAAGGATTTGTGAAGAGCCACAGATATTCACTTTCTGAAGAAACAATGCACATAAGTACAGATGATGATGGCAATTATGACGATGATGATGATGATGATGATGATCTACCGGGAGTGAACAGAGACTGTGGATAACCAAAGGGGAAACACCTAACGTGGTGACATCTTGCCCCTGAAACTCCATAGGACAGTCCAACTACCAAGTCAGTACTCAAAATGCAATACTACTGACGCGTAAATGACACAAATGTGAATGAGGAAAATATGGTTAGTGTTAAAAGCACCGACAAAATATAATGGAATCTGTGAATGTGGCACATTAAGAGCAGCTTTTGTAATGTAGTAATCACGATAATCCTAAAAAAAAATATAGACAAAGAAAAAAAAAATGATGTTGATGAAAGATTAAATTCTAGACCTGGTGAAAAAGCAACAAAGAACAATGCCGTGTTAGGGCACAAACTGGACAAAGAAATTAGGATCAAATGCAGGCGAGCTAAAGAGGAATGTGTCAATGAAAAATGTGCAGAATTAGAAAGATTACGGATCAAAGATAAAACAGATATGCATAATAAAATGAGAGAACTAAAAGGTAAAATTATGAAAAAACAGTGACATAAGTTTGCTGAATTAATTTTCTGTACAAATATTTATATTAGAGAAATATTTAATTAACTAGATCTGCGTAGTAGGAATACAAATGAGGACTTTCAAGTGAAGTTAGTATCAAGACAAGGATAAATTTTAAAAAAAAAATAGATTTCTTGCTGAAAATGTTGTTTATATAAAGATCTGTAAGTGTGTTCAGAGAACCTTTATCCCAACATATCTCTGCTCATGGTCCGATCAATTGGCGAGTAAAGGAAAGGAATAAATTAAGATGGAGAGTCAATTAAGCCCAATAGACAATGATGAGAACAGATTAAATATATACAACCTATAAATTCAATTGACGCTATAATTCTTATTTATCTCTTACGATCTAATGCATAACAATTTGTAAACACCAAATTGTATTCCTCTGGCAATATGGAGTAGGAAAAAATTATGAAAGAAAAAATACTTTTTCTGCACAATGTGAAGGCAACTTTCTAAAGCATTATTTATATCAAGTGCGTTCCTTTTTTTTCTTAGTATCTTAGGCACTATTGACCCTCATACAATAAAAAAAATTAAGCAACGTCGAACCTTATCAAGGCCTAGATGGGTGACAGCTGCGGGATACTAGATGCTGTAAGTTTGGATGTGCGGGTGGTGTAAATAATCATCATGGTACGAGAAATTGGAGAGCCGATTTCCAATTTTAGTCGGGTTCGTAATATACATTTACGTTAGGGAAACCTTAAGAATGGATTCACCTCTTCTTCTCCCATGAGATATGGGTGGCAAAATTAATTGCAACTCGGAAGGTTAATTTGCAGTTCAAGCTCCGCGCTAAATTTCTAATAAAGATTTCCCGAATACTTCCATTTCGTTGTAAATGTACATGCTTAATTCGACATTTTGATAAAATCTGCCGTTTTAAAGTTATCGACAATAAAAGTTCGGACTCATTCCAGTTGCAGTGGGTGACGTTGAGATTAATTCTGCGCTCCCTGAGACATGGGTGATTTAGCCAAGGAATTCTTACAATCTAAAATTCTTCAAAAAAAAAAAAAAAAAAACCTTAAAAAATACAATCAATCAATAATATGTCTTAGTCAATATTCGTAGGTAAGATCGTTTCCATTCAGCGTGATATAGAAAAGTTATACTTTACCAAAATGGTTCACCAAAATGGTTCCGGAGATTAAAAGTATGCCTTACATGTATAAACCCCAAACCCTTGTTTTTTTTCCACTTCGAACTGAACAGATTTTAGGAATAATAAACTCAGTTGGTCCCAAATTGAGCTTACGACCGTATCACGTTGAAACGCGGGTTACTGTACGATCACCGAAGTTAAGCAGCATCGAGCCTGGTCGGTACCTAGATGGGTGACCGCTTGGGAATGAAAGGTGCTGTAAGCTTAGATGTGGAGATTGTGTAATAGATGTTCCTGTGGTGTAACAGATAATGACTGGGAATTTTTAACCGGAGAGCCGTGTTCCAATTTCACTTGGGTACGTGATATTCACTTACGCAAGAATACTTTCGGTAAAGGAATTAATCCACCTGTTCTCTCCAGCTTGCCGGGGTAATTAGTAAAACTTGTATCACTAAATACTTATCTCGAAAAAAAATTACAATCTTACAATCTAATAATAATTTATGACTTTAAATAACCTAGGTTTCGAGTAATATTTTAGTAAAAGCCAGTATAACTTCGACAGAGGACATCTATTTACAATACTATCGATGTCCTATTGTCACAGCATATAGTGAACGAGTGGAATACACACCTTCTTTAGGCAGGCAATACCACGTCTTAAAACTGTTGTTCATAATGACGGTCGTCTTGAGTAGAGAATCCAGAGGTTAGCAGTGAATATCTTGAAGACAGTAGGAAAGTGTTGTTTACGTTAGCAGTGGATATTTTTTCAAGACAGTAGCAGAGCATAGTTCGTCCTTCTGTTTCCCTTCGCCTGACAAGCTGGACTGGACATTCGGGTAGAGTAGACAAAATGGCCGTCTTTATACACGACCGATTGAATGTTCTACGTCTTCTGATTGGTTAACCTTCTATTGGTGAGTCAAGGCATTTGGACTAACTCACTAGTACATATATATATATATATATATATATATATATATATATATATATATATATATATATATACACACAAAAAACTGTAACAAATCTTCAAAATGGAGATCAAAAATACATTTTTATTATGCTGGTTGATGACTGGCATGGTGCAGAGCCCTGTTGCCAACAGTCTATTCGTTTTCACCAACCGCCGTCTTGACCCAAGCCATCACTACCTACTCAAGACACTTGATGTATTCCTCCATGTTGTATCTCAGGTCGCGTGGGAAAATGAATGGAAGCATAAGGTTGCCATTACTTGTTATCACTCCAAACAAATTCATAATCAACTTTAGATTCATCCAGCACTTTCCGAATCCATTGAACTGTTCTCCGAGTGTCACCTAATCACTGAGAAATTTTCTTATTGGAGCTTCCGTAGCAAATGCCAAGCAGTACAGCATGCTGTCTCCAAATTCCTGGCGGAGGGAGTTGCGTCATTGTGGTCTTTTTCTCTCAGACGGTGCTCAACTGGCCCTGTTATATCGAGGAAATCAAAACAAACAACGCACATTTACACACCATATATATATATATATATATATATATATATATATATATATTATGAAATGGACAAATTTCGACAATTATTTTAAGACATTTTTATGTTTAACATTCTTTTTATAGATACAAATATTTAAGTAAATGTTCTGTTTATAATAAACAGTATTAAATAACATTTACCGGACTGAATGTCCGAGAAATTTTCATATAAAATATTCGTCCTCCGATTGGATTCGAACCTGTATCCTATACGGAACCGTCATATAGCCTGACGTGCTTTTACCGAATTCGCCACAGAGGATCGATCAGCTAGCAAGGTCGAATTTAATGCTTTTAAACATTCAGACCGGTAAATGTTATTTAATACTGTTAATTATAAACAGAGCATTTACTTAAATATTTGTATCTTTAAAAAGAATGTTAAACATAAAAATGTCTTTAAATAACTGTCGGACTTTGTCCATTTCATAATGTGTGACGTCATTTGTTTACATTTGATACGCCATGAGCAAACATGAAAGTACGTGAGAGATTCATGGATGATTGAAGTTCTTAATATATATATATACAGTTTAAAAATTCCTATATGTCAAAAATAAATGTTTTCAAAATTTCAAATACTATTATGGATTATTTGTTACGGCATGCATGAATACCAGTATAAAAGTTATAAATAATTATTGACCGATTTGTCATTGTGATATTTTTGCATTATATTAAGTATTAAGAATATAGTGACTAGGATCTGCAAATTGGAGGAGAGAGTTATCAATAATAATGTTCGGAATTCGAATCCGCGTTATCTCCCTTTAATTCTCTGCATTTTTTTTTCATTTTCTACGAACATTGTATCACATAATTTGGTAAGGCTGGACGAAATTTTAATTCTGAAAATGCGGCCCAGAGAAAAAATATTTGGGAAACAATGCCGTCAGGTATGAAGAATTTTTGTGGAAGTATTAATGAAAATAGAAATTAATGAGGTTCTTTGAAATTCTCTAATTCCTTGACTGACTCATTATTTGATGCTTTGACTTGAACAAACTTTAAAGTTGAAATAATTTTCCCTTAAATCTTGTACCTGAAATTCGTGTGATAAAATCTCATGTCAATTTTTAGATTTCAATTCTTCAAGAAAACTTCAGAGATATTTTCAAATTTAGTAATCACCGCTTCATCTGAAACGGGTTTAAAGCCTTGTTCGGCAACCTTTCTAAAGATGGGATCTCGATAAAAACGCCTAGCTTCCTGTGATTTTAACAGGTTAATAGGAGTAGGTAGGTTCACTTATCGCCTGGCCTCTACTCTTTCTATTCTGTTGAAGATGTTTATCTCTTGTTTCTTCATTTTAATATGGTTTACCATTTCTTTTCTTCAATGTATTTTTTTAATTATTTTTTATTGCTATAGTTGATGGACCGATAATTATTTGAGCATTTTTCTCCTCGGAATCATCTCATCCTTCTCAATGCAAATTTCAACATTTCGTTTTTAATGTTCTAACTAGTCCCATATTTGCCAGTTTTGGAGGTTTTGAAGTCTGGTGACCATCCTCATTCATTCAAGTCCTGTATATCCTACTGAGAATTATGTATCCAAAGGTCTCAATGCCTTGGTTATGTAACAGGCAGATTTTCACGGTCCACCCCTAGTTTTAAATCGGAATTGTCAGCCTTGAATAAGTTACCACCAGTAAGGCTAAATAACCGAGTCTGTTTTTACTATTTATCCCATTGTAACTGGAAAAAGCTATGGAAGAATTATTTATTGTACCATTTGAATTTCCACCCGTTATGAGCAATATATCCGTGATATTATAACACTGACGGAACAGAATTGCTGAAAAGAAAAGGAATAACAAATATGCTAGAGAGACTTTTATACTACTAAGATATACACAAAAACATATATACATGTGTCACACGCAGAGAATAATATATCAAATATATCTACACAACAAAGCACGATGTAATGAGAAACAAAAAGGAAATGTCTTACATATAATATGAAGATGCTCCTCTGTTTGGAGAAGCCATCTTTAGGAATCCAAAGCCAAACAAACCGGATCCATCTAAGTCCCAGGCGAGGACATTTTCTAAGAATTGGAAACGGCGTGTATTGAGTTTACCCAAATTGAGTAATGCGAGCTGTAGTTTCATTCTATATAGGGGATAAATATATTCTCTAAGTTAAACGGCACAATGCATTGGAAGACCTGCACTAAAGAGAGCAACCTTATGGTATATCTGCTGAATACAAACTGAACTTTGACAGCCACTTTTGGCACTGTATGGAATGACGTCACTAATCGGTCTGTCTCGTGACCCAAGTGACTCATCTCCACGAAAGGCAGAAAATGGCCTTCTGTACTTATATTCCATAGCATTCTCAAAGGTATTTGAGCGAAAGTGAATGTGACGATCGAGACTGGAATTCGAACTTGGCTAACAATTACACTGACTGCACTTTCTGATAACAATGGTAACAATAAAAAAAATATACCTCGTGTATATTTACCATCAACAAAATTTACTTAAAAAGGAAAATAAAGTATTTGCCATTGAAAGATCGAGAACCCAGTCAAACATGTTATTTAAACCGTAGCTTTTGTGTAGCCGATATAGATATCCACCATTCTCATAGTAGGAAAATGAATCCAACATATTATTGCTGGAATTTGATCACGTTTCACTAATTCCACGTTTAAGCAGACATGTCATATTTCATAGAATTTTAATACAAATAGTGATATGATCACCAGAACACCTTGAAGTCGTGTTAATTGGGAAAGTATAATAATAATAATAATAATTTGGGGGAAAACATGAGATATATAGATATATGATGATGTCTACCCAAGTAGAAGAATATTTTATTTACCATTTACAAATTTAGTCGGACTTTAGTCTGTTTAACGATGTCTCCCTGGACAGTTGGTAAGCTGTCTAATGCACGAAATATTGATGTGGAGGACACTTGACAGGGAATTTTATCGAGTGTCAAATATGAATGCATTAAAACTGACAAGTGAGTTCATTCTTACTCTGAATCTCCATTCCGACAGCTACCGAGGGGACCCCATTAAAAATAATTCCGTATATTTCTCAAACTCGTTGATGCTTAGTTTATTTATGTGTACTTATTGAGTGGGATTTTTCTCATTCTCTTTTGAAAAATGATTTGAAGTTAAAATGTAATTATAAATTTACCAGCATGAATTGTAAAAAAAAGTTTTAAAAATCCAATTCCAAGGATTAAAATTTAAACGCCGTTAACTTTGCCAGTATGAATAGAAAAAAAAAAGTGATAGTTTAGTGTTTTTATTTGGCAGAACTTACTCCCGCACTATCTAAACTATGTAAATTATTAAAGTGTTATTTTACCAAATAAATGCGTTCGTACAATAAAGACAACAGATTTTAAAAGATTTGTTCACAAATTGGACTATGGCATGTATAGGAAAAAAGAGTTTTCAGAGCACCTGAGACGATATGAGACATACCTTACCTAATCGTCCCCAAACCCCTATCTCACCGAGTAGATAATTTGTGATTTATCTATCTCTGCTCGTGGTGTCACTAGAATCATTGAAGCTTTACCTCTACGAAGACTATTTTTCCTGTCTTTGTTCTGGAAAATTATAGCCTAGAGTTTTTTAATCGCTACTTGAAGGAGTAAAGTTTTCCAGATCTATGGAATATTACAGCTGCATGTCGTATTATGAAGGATGCGGATAAGCAGTCATCCCCATCACCACACTTTGTCTCACTAGCAT